TTGAGCACGTCCTGGCACACGGCCTCCAGCTCTTTCTCAATCTTCTCCCGGTAGGCCCGCACCATCTCAATCTTCTTCTCGTTGCCATCAGCAGAGGTTTTCTGCTCTATGCTGGAGATCACCCTCCAGGAGGAGCGGCGGGCTCCCACCACGTTCTTGTAAGCCACAGACAGCAGGTTCCTCTCCTCGTTTGACAGAGCCTCATTCAACTCCGTCACCTGGAAGACAGAGCGTGAATACTGTTAATGCTAAACAGCCATGCCAATTAATCACTAACCTCTCTCACAAACTGGAGCTGCCTGAAACCAACAAAGAGAAGTCCCTGTCTGAAATGCTTCTGATCATTAAACCACCAACCAAGCTGATGACATGAACTTTCAAAAAGCAAGTCAACGTCATAAAACCAAAGAGGCATTTAGTTGAACTCTAGTTGCTAAAGAAAAAACTTCCCCTGGTTGAAGTCCAGTGATCAATTCAAGCACTTCATAAAAACTTGTTAAAGTTCTGTTAAAAACAAAAAGATACATTCCTTTTCCATCATCACAATGGAAAATGATGATGGAAGAAATCCTGAACTTCAGGACTTTGGTCACTAACTGAAATCCTGCTTAGTAAGTCAATGCATTGGCATTCTTGCATTGAAAGCTAAAGATATTAGAAAAATATGTTCTAATGTATGGACAGCTGATCAAATATTGCCTCCAAGCAGACTTTTACAACATTGCTCACCTTGCGGTTACAACAAATCCTAACCCAAGGTGTTTCTTCCTTTTAATTTCCCGGCTGGCTGGATGAACACGCCACTTGTCATTGCTATGTCACATCATCCTTGAGGTGTGAAGTCGACTCAGACCTACTAAAGTCAGCTGTGACTGCATGGCTTGAGGTCTGAGACGTAACATTGGTGGGTTGACTTCAACCCACCCTCAGAAAAACACTGAAGTTTGGTAAGTCCCTCTCTCTACTACCTCTGGTGTTCATAGATTACCAATCAAGCTGTCAATATTTCATGCATTCAAACTGTGAAGAGAAACTCTGTAAAACTCAGGGTAGGCAAGCTTTTAGGTTTAAACATATCGGTTGGGTGAGGAGCTTTTCAGTTTGATTCAGTTTTCTGGCAAACAACTATCCTGGCCTAATTATCATCATTTATGGGCTTCAATGTGACTCATCCAAAGTGTGTTAATAGAAAAAAGTATGTGCATGACACAATGATCCTTAAATACTATAACCACACTGTGAATCGTCACTATGCCAAACCCTCAACCTGCAAAGTCAGCTAAACTCTAAATAAATCGACTGATACATGGCTGTTACCACTATGCTTGGTGTCTCTGAGATGTGACCCTGGCGGGTTGACTTCAAGCCCCCAAACACCTTGAACCTCTCAGAGTGATTTACAAAATGAAGCCACCATTGAGTAGCCAAAGAGGCAGGGGCAATAGAGTGTTATTTCAAAGCATCAGAAACTTCTTATTAAGCACACATCATCTCAGTGTAGTTTTATTTTCCTTTGATGAAACGTCCTCTGGCTGAATTCCAGTGATTTGACGCATTTCACTGCAACCCGTCCAGCAGGCATCGGTGGAGATAAATAGTGAGTTTGAATTACTGATTCACCTTTAACCTATTGGCCATGTCGAGCCACATAACCTCGACATGGCCAATTCTCCATTGTCCGATATGGGATTTTGACAACCCATATCAGGGTCACATCAACCTTCTCAAGTGACTAAGGGTGCATTCACACCAGCCCTGTTTAGTTTGCTTTAATTTGACTCCAGTTCATTTGCCTAGAAGATGCAGTTTGTTTGGGGTGATGTGACCAAATAAAAGGTCTGCTAAAAAAACCTCTGTTCAGCTGAAGTGAACTCTGGTGCGATTTCAATGCATATGAGCCCATCAAACAGACACAAGTCCACTCCAAAGGCAGGAAGCAGCCTGTACCACAAGGCATCCTGGGTAAAAACAACCAAGACAAAGTCATGTAATGCCACTCATTTTTGTTTAGATTTCACAAAGAAGGAGATTGCACCCAGTGTTTACTTCAGTGGTTCTTGGTGCAGCGCCACCACAGGCAAGGACGGGAACTCTTTTTTTGTTTTGTTTTTTTTAAAGGTTTTGTTGACTTTGAAAGGTGTGTCCTTTATTTGAAGGCCACACCTCGTGGAAACCCTGTTTCCTGTCAAACAGGAAACAGGGTAATAACAGAAGGGGAAGACATGCCTGGCAAATGTCGCCAGGCCGGGAATCGAGCCTGCGACCCCCACCACGTGGGTCATGCTTTGCCCCTGCGCCGTCACAGCGCCCCCTGGTTTTTCTGAAGGTTTGGATTTTTTTACACATTGCAGTGTGAAAATGAAACGCACCAGCTGAAAATCCAACAAATGTTGGGACTTTGGGCCCCGGTTGAACCGAGTCTACCAGACTATCAGGTGTGAAAACGCCCTGAAAAAGACCATTCAAATACATTGAACTGACCTTCAATGCATCTAGGAGGAAAGAAACTTCTTCAAATTCATCTACAGCTTCCTTTTCCTATGATTCCAGTGAAATCAGATCCCTTAAGAATGAACTTTAATAATGATTTCTCTGGATGGAAGCAATCATTAGATTTTTCTAGCTGTACTCATTTGGCTGCAGACCGTCCTTCTTCCACAGCAAAGAGGATGAACAATATTTCACTCATCATGCGCAATTCCCAGTTTCCATGGCAATGCATTCATTTATTGCACCAGTAGCTCCAGCTGCCACGTGTGCAGCTAATGCCAGCTAGCGAGAAATTCTATTCAAGATCGTTGGGGGGTCAGCAGGAAGGATAGTGGAGTGAAGGGGTTTAGGGAGAGGTAAGGCAAGAGAGGGAGGGACAGAGACGGTTCATGTCCTCTCACGGGGACTGGAGCAAGGGGGGTGGGGGGAGCGGCTGCAGTGTAAGTGAAAACCGTGACTGCACGGGCAGTTCACATGTCCCAGTGACCTTCTCTCTGGCTCAGAAAGACCTTTTTACCTTCAGTGACATCACTCTGAGCTGAGCCGTTATATTTAGGCTCAACTGGATCGGTTGTATTGGACCGTAGATCCGGTTGGGGTAAAACTGATCACACAGACAGCACAGGTGATGACTGATAGGAAAGGAGCAATTATTTCTCATGAACTGTTCAGTGCTCAGGATGGAGGAAGGTGATGTCACAGCGAGTGGGTGGAGAGGGGATGGACTCGACCAAGCTTCCTTCGACTCCTCAGTCTTAAGTTCAGGAACAAACCATTCATTGGTTCAATTGTTAATATTCTGTCAAAAGAAAACGTGCTGGTTTCAACATTTTTGATGATTCCAAGTGTTTAGTTTTAGTTTTAGAGCATATTTTTCATGAGGCTAACATGAAGGCTCCAGGGCCTCCCTGTTTCGGGGGCAGCAGTGGCATAGGGATTCCCTGTGGTTAGAGGCTGTTTGGGCCCAGTTTGGCGCTGACTGACACAGCAGATTGGATAGAAGGGAATGGAATCCCTTCTTGCGACGATAAATGATGCACAAGGCAGCGAAACGGTTTTCTCCATTTGCAGAGACGGTTTTATTCCGGGCGTCAGCTCTAGGATGTTGCCGGTACCAGTGACACAGCGATTTTTTTTTTTTCAGTACTGATATGTCATTAAAGGAGGCAGGAGAAGAAAAAAGGGAGGAAGAGAAGCAAGCAGACAAAGGATCTGTTCTCAGCGCTGACCAATAAGAGCTGAGGGAGCTAATGTGAAGCAGCCCATCCATGTCATCCACTTCACATCAGCTATTACGCCGTTAAATCAGGAGCTGTTAACCCGAAAACGGCTCCGATTTGCTGCCTTGGACGCACACCGAGGAGACGGCAGAGGAAGAAATCTGCTCAAACTGACTCACTGCAGTGTGACAGAGAATATTCCAGAGAGAACCTGCTGAATCTTACCTTTTGTTTCAAAGGAGAGAGCAGCTCATGTTGGGTGTATTTGAGTAAAAGGTTGGATAAAACATGTTTAAAAGGAGCAGTAGTGTATAATTTATGACAAAGACGGGGAGAAGGAGGAGGAGGAGTGGGAGTAAGGTGGGAGGAGGGAGGTGGTGATGGAGATGGTGGAGGTGGAGGAGAAAGAGGAGGAGGAGGAGGTGGCATCAGCAGATGATAGGCTTTCTCTTTTTCTTTTTTTTTCTTTCTGAGGAACCTCGCATTGCTCCCAGCACCTCTTCCTCCAAAATGGAGGAAAATGAGACAGAGCAGTACCGGAAGATTAAATCATGAATACAACATTAAGAAATCTGTTGATGCATTGCAGCACTCTGATGCCCGGCTCCTGTCTCAGTAAGCTCAGTCAGGCCTGCACGCCTTCTCATTGTAACATCCTCTGAGTCGACAGAAAGGCACCGCCCAATGGGCAGCAGAACACGGCCTGGACCCGACTCAGAGAACAGGGGTAGGGGTAGGGGAGGGGGGGGGGGCTGTACCCAACTCAGAGGACAAATGGGGATGAGGGGCTGAGCTGCAGTCTAGCTGATGATAATGTAATAAAGAGATTTACTGCAATTTTGCAGCAGCTGCTGAGTGTGGCAGCTGTTAAAACGGAGCTAACAAGAACCAGAAGCACATTCCCACCCATCCCTCATCATCATCACCATCATCCCCCCTGCTGTTGGATTGGACTTACCGACTTCATGGCTGCTGCCATATCATCATATCTCTCTGCCTGCTCGGCCAGCCTGGCTTTCTGCACCAGCTGCTCGCGGTCGACCATTTTCTCTACTGGTTAGTGCTGGGAGGGGACGGGGGGCTTTGCTCGGTCGAGCTGCGCGACGTGGGCTTCGTGGATGAAAACGGCTGATATTTCAAATTGCAGTGCAGTGAAATCCTAGGCGAAGCGCGTGCTGCAGCTGTTCCCTGCTGTCTGTCTGAGGCTCAGCGCAGACGGGACACCCTCTCTCCTCCTCTCCCTCTCTCTCTCCCTCTCTCTCTCTCTTCTCTCTATCCCCCTCCCTCCATGCCTTCCTCCTCCTCCTCTTCACACACTCTCCACGGGCTGCGTCATCACTCGGGAAGGTGGGTGTCTGTGCAAATGATGTAACACTCCTTACATGGGAGGCAGACAGACATGAGCAGGAGGATGGGGATGGATGGCACTGAAAGCCTTCTGGGAAATGGAGTTTATTGACGTGGCAGCAGCATGCTGGTGCAGGAAGCAGGGAATCAACTGGCATTGAATGGTAAGCTGTTGTGAGACGTTTTCAAACATACAATACATTTATAGGGTGTTCTTTCTCCACTGGCAGTCCAATAGACAAAATTATAGCAGGGCATTTACCCAGAATGCCCTGCACTCTAGTCAAGCGGTTTGGCGTTCACATATGCACTAAAACCACACCAGAGTTCACTTCAACCAAAGAGGGTTGAGGCCTTATGGACTTGCGGGGATTGGAGGGTTCTGCCGACCCTGATGAGATGCTGCTCTGGATTGAAGCCCATATCACCCAGATCAGAAACCACCACTGTGTCTGTGCTTCAACAGGCCTGGGTCAAATAATCAGATCATGAGCAGGATAACATCAGACAACAAATAGCATCGTGAAGTGCAAGTACCACAGCAGGCAGGTCAGGGAGGACGTTATGAAGGAGTTTAAAGGAGTTAGGCTGTAAAGTTATATCCTGAGATAATAAAGTTACATGCAACAAAATGGGAAATGTTCACCACAAATACAAACCTTCCAATTCACAGGCTCGCCAAAAAGAGAGGTAAAGAATATGAGAGAAGTCCATGATTACTGTTGAGAAATTGCAGAACTTTTGGTAAGAAAATTTTGCTGAGAGTTCAACAATAAGTTGCTTGATCTTAAAATCTGACCCACATGGAGGAATGGCAAGAAGAAAGACATTCTAAATCTAAAACATCCCATGCCATAAGCTCCATGGACAAAACGCTCAACCTGGGGAAGAAGCTGGTCTGGTCAGATGAGACCATAATTGAAGTTTTTGGCAAACACAAGTGGAGGAAAATGAGCCATGTAGATCCCAGTGAGTTTCAGATTTAATGGGAAGATGATTGGAGCTACATTCAGTTGTGTCCTGAAAAACAAAACTGTTTATTGGATGAAAAGGACTTGAGCAGGAGCAGAACTTCACCTTTCAGCAGAACAATTAGAACAATTTAGATGAATTTACTGTCATATGTTAATTTACACTCTTAATGCAGTTCAGTTCAGACTTACCAAAAAGTATTTGCAGCTAACATTGAGGTGATGTCATATTTTGTTGGTCTGTGGCATAAAATTACAATACAAAACATTGACAAAAAATAAAAAAGACTCAGGGTTAGAAATACTGACTTGTAAACCTCTATGAAAGATTTCAGCTTGAACAACTACTCACTAGAATATTTAGTATGTCTCATTTTATTTAAAATGTTGATTTTAAGCCTCTTTTACAACTCTGGGTCATCGAGAGTTGTCTTCGTTTGATTTTGATTTAGATTAAACTAGAAAATTTGATCAACTTAAAATCATCTCATGGATCTTTCTATTGTGATTGTTTACATATAAAAAAGTTTTGTTTGTATTGTATGTATTTTGATCTAGAGATATTTTGATTTTAGATTCTAAATCTGAGTTTTTCTCACAATGCTTTCTTTCTCTCCCGACCTGCAACTTTAGCTGTTACAAAACAGCTCCACCTTCTGGTCAGAATTAGTAAAGAAGCCGTGGGACTGTTAGTGAAAACCTGCATGAATGAAACTTAAGAAAGACTGTTCCAATACAAGCATTAATTAGCTGCACTTTCTTTGCTTCTTTCGCTTCTGGGGAAATTCATGCGTTTCAGTGCAAACGTTTAACCTGATAAAACAAAACACAGAGGAATTATGCAACACATTAGGATAAGCATGTTCTGAACTGTTTCATTCAAGTTTCGGGTGTCCCATATTTGATGTGACTGTGTGTTAATGTTTGTGTTCCCAATAAACCCTCTGGATTAAACAGAAAAATACTGATCATCCTTAAATTCCATTGTCTCTCATTTAAAATCTGTATGAAAAAACTACAAGAACACAAGTACAAAAACTATGCATCCATCTATTCATCCATTTTCTTGTGCTTTTCCAGATTCAGCCTAAACAGAGAGGCCCAGACTTCCCTCTTCTCAGCAAGATAAAACATACAAAAAAAATCTGGCAGCCAAGAAAATTAGAGTAAATGTGAAAGAAACATTTCCCAACTTTTCTCATTGTCCATTTGTTGTAAGGTCAGACAGTGTTAGTGCCAAAGGAGCCTTAGGAACAGTTTCCGAGCTCTCTCTATTCTGATGGATCTCAGTGACATTATTCTTCAGATTGGGGTATGACCTGGGTTTTCTTAGCATAATAGCCGACATCCTGTTATCAAGGTTTTGTTTAAATGGCTATTTGAATCTAGAGGCCTATAGCCCAAGTGGCTAATGCGCTTAGTATAATATGGGGCAAATAATTATTAGAAAAGGATGGATTTGAGTTTTGAATAAGAAAATAATCTGAAAAAATACCTGACTTAAAATCAAATTTGTTTTGTGACATTTAAATCTGACAGTGAAATCTCTAGGGCAGACAGGGAAGCCTAAATACTTTCTCACTAATTACAATTTGAACAGTACTCTGAGTGCTTTTCTTTTGGCACCTAAATTTCAAGTTTCATCAGCGTAAGTGGTTTTGGTCTGCTTGGCCAACATTACCCCATCTGGCAATGTCTTACAAAAGTTTCTGGAGTTTGTGGATGCGCTGCTGCTCAGAGCGAGGCCACAGAAAAATGGAGCAAAGCACAAAAATCCCCAAATTTTGCAGCGCTCTAAGAAGCCACAAGGTAGTTTATTTTTACATTGCAACTGAAATGTGTGGTTTGCAGACTGGGTAGCATGATTTGTGTGAAATAAACAGCAAGCTTCATATATTGTGCATTTATTTGATGCACTCCTGTTATTTTGGGGGTGCATTTTATTTTTTGATGACAAAATGTCAGCAACTGTTACCAGCTCTTTTGTGGGAATGTTTTTGCTTGAACATTGGCTTGTGGGGAAAGGTTGACGTTTAGAAAATCTGGTTCTGGTTGGATTTTCTCGATAGTTACAGAACAAGTCTATTTGAGGTTTCTGTGGGGGAAAAAAGCACCAAGCTGAGCTGCACCCTATTCAATGTTCAGTTGTGTATTGTTTAAAATGTTCACATATTCTTATCCCTAGAAAAGAAATGTATTTATTTTCACTTAAAAAACAAAAATGAAAATTTTTAAGAAAATTCCAGCTGAGCTTAAAACTAGGCCTAATAACTGGGATTAATCTCTTTAGCTCTTGCTATTAAGAGCAAAAAGAACTTTAGTGAGTAACCACTACTAGACTGAATAAAGTTTGCTCCACTTTTCTCTTTAGGATGTAACATTATAAAAAAAAAATTATGTTCAGTCAATTTCAAATTATAGCATCTCAATAAGATCCAGATCTGGGATTTGACCCGACCCAGGATTTTCCATTTTTGAATTCTCAGGTAGTCTTTGGTGGATTTATTGGTCTGTTTTGGGTCATTGACCATACTGAAAGATCTGGTTCTGCTTCAGTTTTATTTCTTTCACATTGTATATTTTCCCCTTATATAAGTGCACTATGAATTTTACACAATATAATCTAAAGTGGATGTGACCACAACATTTCCACTGAGAATGAATGTTTCCTATTGTTTCTTAAAATTGTTTATTAAGAAATAAATATTTAAGCGTACAGTTAAAAGTCAGAGCTGTTATAGTGAGTAGCGTCTCCTGAAACATTTCGTCAAGAACTTCCGTTTGACTACGGCTGCTGGTAATGGAAAGAATTTCAATACAGACGAACTTCATCTAAGTAGATCTGGGAACAATGCTATTTAAACAACGGGCATCATTAAATTAATGGGACAGGAAAAATGAATCCAAGGATAATTAATTAGCTAGATACTGATTAATTTAAATCTCAGACATTTCTTTGATCTATTGACCATTTTTCTTCTCCTGTCAAAGAAGAATTTCTGTTGCCAGTTTTGACAGATAATAATAAAGCTTTTCTATCTACTCTATTCTATTCTAGTCCAGTGTAGTGAAGCACAGCCTAGCCTAACCTAGCGTAGCCTAACCTAGCCTTGCCTTGTCTCACCTTGTCTATTTTTCCTGAGCTGCTCTTGAACATTGACTATGAACAAATTTTTTAACCAAAACTATTAGCGATTATCTGTCATCTTGAGTTGGCCTATTATGTGAAATCACCATAAAACGCATTGAGATCTGTGGTTGAAGCATGACAAAAATGTTGTCATGTTTGTTGAAACATGAGTTCAACATCATGTGGGAAAACATGATTGTTTTCCCACTTGTTTGTGGGAAAACAAGTCAGACATGTCCAACCCAGATCTTTCTAAATCAGTTTTCCTTTTACATTTCAGTTCATCCCAAATATCACAGTACTGGTCAAAACTTCTGTTTCTTTTAGGACCTGCTTGCCACCTGCCCTGCTGAATAAAGGCCAAGAGAGGAAGTGTTTATTTTCCATGGCCTGTAAACTGGGCCAAGCCACGTAAGCAGGAAGTGGAGGAGTTTAAAAAATGGCCCTAATCAAGGCAAAAATATTCACACTGTCAGCTTTACTGCAAACAGTTCAGACTGAATAAGTATGCTTGACTCGTCTTAGAATTGGTTGAAAGTTATTTAATTTTAAATCTTAAACAGTTGTTTGTGCAGTATTAATGTGAAGAACTCCAAAAAGGTCACTACATATTTTTCACATTTATCTTCTTATTGTCTCTAAGATGCAATAAAAAAGACAAATCATCGACCTGATGCTTTCAATTGAAGTCTTCATTTATGTTTTCAAACTGCAGTCTTACAGTGTACAGTCTTTGCTGAACTAATGAATCCATCTACTTGCTTCAAAGAGGATTAAAGCTCCTTCTGCTTAGCTTAGGAAACTCAAATTAGGATGAAGCTAAAGAGAGGTCTGCTGTCTACAGCAGCCATCTGTCTGCCAGGTGGACGGTCAGGAGCCGCCGCCGCCGCCGATGGAGACCAGACTAGAGCTGGATGTGTTGATATACCCTGATGAGGTGAGGGTCGCCACCCCGGAGGACCTCAGGCAGTGGGACCTAGAGACAGCCAGCCAGGTCTCCATCCCCACCGTTCGACTCTTTGTGGCGCTTTACCCGTACAACCCGGCCGCCATGTCTCCCAACCCCGACACGGCGGCGGAGGAGTTGCCCTTCGTGCCTGGCCAGATCATCAAGGTAAAGACACTTCACTGCCGTGAAAGCTTTATGTTTTAGTGATTCTCTGCAACGTGTGTTGTGCTTCCTCATTTTCAATCTGCAGAGGTTTCTTTGAAATTACATACTGCTGTTTCCTGTTTGTGCAGGCCCGCTGAACATGTGCAGAGACATGAACTCTTCTCTTGAGTTCCTGTAACTGTTTTTTTCTTTTCTTTTTTTTGCTGCTCATTTAGGTGACTTGCCGCCTTTTTCCACTCAGTTCTTTGCCACACACACACACATACACACACACACATACACACACACACACACACACACACACACACACACACATACACTGTAAAAATAATTAGGGTGGTTAAACTTAAAAACTTGAGTACAATTGCTGCCTTAAAAACACAAGTTAGCACAACTTGAAATTATGTATTTTTCCAACTTAGGTTGGCAAGCTAGAAAAGTAGCCCAATTGCTTATAATTTGTTGCTTAAATATGATACCATAAGTTGAAATGACTAACTACAGAACATTATTCATTCTCAAAAAATTGAGTACTCTTGTCAAGTGAAATTAAAATCATATTCTATTTGAACTCAAATAATTAAATTATACCACTTTTCTAACTAATGACTACTTGTTGTATGAACTTCATACTCTGAGTTTAAACACATTGCAAAGATACATTATCCATTCAGAAAACTTGTTTTATTTTGTTAAAGTAACAAACAATTATATATACTTTCAACTCTCATTTTAAAGTTAAACTGACTAACTATATTAATACCAATTCCTTTTTTGAGTTGATTTAACTTAAGAGTTTAAGGCAGCAATTGAACTTAAAATTGCAATTTAAGTAAACTAACATTTCCAAATATTGTTCACTTCCTCCACTAATAATGCCAAGTTCACCAGTTTCCTAAAAATAATTACACCAAATACACTTCCATTTCAAATATTATACATTTATTTTTATCTTGCTCTATCAAATATGAGACAAGCCTTAAATCAAGTGTAAAAGAAAACATTTGTCCAAGACAAGCAGAGGTGTTGACATTTATTGGAGGACCAAAATTGACAAAAACAGAAATCAATTTGACAAATAAAACAGAATTTTATTGAAATCTCAATAAATAAATGTACTTAAAAGGCTCCAATTAAGAACTTCACCAGATTAAAAACCACCATTGTGAAGAGTTAAAATTATTCTAAAAATGTAGGACACCAGCAGTGTTTCCATTTTAATGCATTTTTTTAATCATCAAATTCTTAAAATGTCAAAAGAAATGAAAGAAAATGCAAATCAGGCATGTTTCCATCAACTGGCTTTTAGCAAAATTAATAAGGATACACAAAGTAATTACATCGGAATTTGATGTTATGCATGGCTGTGGTACACAGGAAGTGATGTCTCTTAATAAGGACTAAAAATATGTTTTTGCAAACACAAATGCTACAAAAAGATTTTAAAGAAATGATAGCAAGAAAGAGAAATAGGTAAACATGTAAACAGTTTTTGTAAGAAATTTTGTTAGTCTTACATCCTACATCCTGATGACAGTTGATGGATCTTCGCCAGATATGTAGCGAGGCAAACCAAGCAGAGCAGCAGCCCTTCTCCTTTCATTTGTGTCCTGCAAGAGATGAGACATGCAGTAAAATTAATATATTTTAACAAAATTAACAAATTATGCCTTGTTTTCTAGCCATCTTCAGTCCTGCTCACATCTTTTGCAAGGCAGTCCAAAATGTCTTTGAGTGGCTGCTTCTTTCCAGATTTGGTTGCTGCTTTGTAGACCTCCAGCAGTCTCAGAACCAGGCCATCAAGTCAGTCAAGAAAAGATTTCAGAAGGTCTGTGGTGACGATTCTTGTAAATTCTGCCCTAATCTGAGGAATAGAATACATAGAATATAAAACTTTGTCTCAATAGGACAGTTAACTCAGTATTAAATCACTAAATGTCTTGGTGGAACGAATTCAGTTATGCGATTACCTGTCTCTCATGGAACAGAGCAGGCCATCGGGAGATGAGCTCTGTGATGTGTGGTTGATCTCCTACAATGTCTTTCCTACACTGAGAAAATGTAGCAACCATCAAATCCTCAAGCAGCTGATGATTTGGGTCTTTCTTCTGCATTTCAGCCTCCATTATCTTGCGCTTCACCTCCATGTTTTCAGGACTGTGTCCTTCAGATGGATCAGGACAGAAGTTCACCTCTCCCTTCTTTGACTTTTTGACAGTTTCCCCTTTTGAAATTCCAGATTTTCTTTTGTTTGAGACCACTTCAGGGTATCGTGCTGAACTTAATTTTTGCCTGTAGTTTCCCATTTTAAATTTCAAACTGTGAAACCATGAGTGCCATCCCTTTTCTGACCCTGGGTCTCGCAGACACCTGCACAAAAAACAAAACAAAAAAACCCATACATTTCAGATTATGGTATTTAAAAATATAAAGTATTCATACATACAAATTCCAGTTTTGCCACTTAATTAAAATAACTTGACTAAAATGTTATCTTCATCAGCTTCATTGTCCAAAGTAGAGGTTCCAAAGTTTTCAGAATTTGACCTGCACAATAACAGTAACACAGACTGTCCCCAATTTATTGTAAATGATATACCTTGATATTGGGTCAAGTGAAGGACAACAAAATTAATTTTGCTAGTTTAATTCATTGTAAGGTGACACACTTTACTAACAACTAAATCAAATAGTCATTTTTAAACAGTAATCAAATCGAAAAAAGATTTTTCAGAACCCCTCCTCCATGTTTCAGGACCTACAGTGGGGTCCTGACTATTTGGAAGCCACCAAAGCTCCTTGATATGCGATAGTCTTGGGCACGCGCCCAGCCTGAGCTAACGCTTGATAAATAATTACTGTAAAATTCAGAATACAGTTTAATCAGTAATAGCTGCTGGAGATAGTTTGCATTTTTCACCGGCAACCAGAAAGGGACACGCATGCGCACGAACACACGAAAGAAAGGATACGACTAATTACTGACAAGAAACAGACTAATTACTGGCACAGCCTTTCCCGAAGCCGCTAACTCGTCTGCAGTTAGCACGTCGATGCAGAACTTTGACCAAGCGCCACATATGCATTTCTGAGGAAGTGTACAATACAAAAATCGTGGAAGCTGCTTGTATTTTCCCTTAAAAAAGTTCTAGAAGCGAGTAGCATACTGCGTTTAGCTAGGCTCAACTGCATTAACTAACTGCCGCCCTCAATTAGCAAGCTGTTGTTTTATGTCCTGTGTTTAAATATGTAACACAAACTTTTAGCTCTTAACATATTTGAAAAATGGATGGCATTATCAAAAAAACGACAAAATGCAGCTTACCTTACATTTTTATCTCTCCAGCTCGCTTCGCATTTGGAAAAAATGTCCCGCCGAACTTGAACGCCTTTAGGACCGAGGTCTCGGAAAAAATGGTATTCATCCGCGAGGTGTTTTCGACGTCCTTAATGTGGTCAGCTGGTGTTCCTCTTCTTCATTTAATATGCGATTCTAACTGGGATGGAAAACTTTAGAACTTCTGACTAAATTTCACCTCATATTTAGTCCCTTATCAGATAAAGAGCGAATTCCCGGCACTATTTGTATCTCGCATTAATATTGCCTGTGGTGATCAGTTTTTATAAGATCCGGTTAACATTTTAAAACTCAGATTGTCAAGTTATGTTCACACGTTTGAATTTTAGGTTTCACTGAACTGACTCACATCCTCGAGTTGAAATGAAAATAACTCATGAAATTAAGTTGACATTTCATAACTCATTATGTTAATTGGAACTAACTTATAGAAATACCTTATGTCAACTAATCGTGAGTAGGACTTTTTACAGTGTACACATACACCCACACACACGCACAAACACCGGTATTTCCAGCAGTATTAGGACATTATTTTGAGTTCTATGCCCTCTCACCTACCCTTGCTTTCACCATTACCGATGCATTACCGGCCTTAACCTAAACTTCATTCAGAAAATGATACTCTCTTGGTCTTTGGATAGTAAAGATAAATCCATTCATACCCTAGTAGATTTAGGTTTGTGTTAGATGATCTTGTATAGCATTTGAAATGGCAACATCCTATTTGTAAAGTGCATTAAAAGTACATTTGACTTGACTTAAAATTATTCTAATTCTACCAAGAGGGTTTTTGTTTTCAACATTAAATAAGATGAAGAAATTGAAGATAGAAAAACAATATAAAAGTGAGTTTTCTAGTTATGCTTTTATTTACATGTGAATGAATAATAATATAAAATGAGGAAAATTTCTTCAAACGGCAATCAAACTCCACTCTTTGCATGTTTTAAATGGAATGTCAGTAATTCGTGTTCAGTATTGCGCTCCGAGTCTTTTAACTTAGAAGGCCTCTTTGCCACTGAATGCTGAAATAAACATTTTCAAATCTTTGACTGGGTCACTTCAGAACATTGATCATTTTTACTACCTGTCCAGACGTCAAGAGAAACATGTTAGCAAAATTAGCAATCTGAAGATATTCTGATAAAGCAACCTAAACAAGTGCACACATTAGTGTTGGAACAAAGTGATGAGACATGCGGTCTGTGTGCCTCGCCAGGTGTTTGGAGACAAGGACTCAGATGGTTTCTACCATGGAGAGTCCGGTGGTCTCTCCGGCTACGTGCCAAGCAACATGGTGGCTGAAGTCCCAGTGGACGACGAATACCTGAAGCACGTTCTCATGCAACAGGGTTTTCTGCCTGTGGACCACGCAGGTGCCAACTCTTCATTTTTTGCAAGAATGTGAGACTGTGACTCGCAGGCAGAAAATAAACAGAAAATGAGGCTAAATAAGCAAAAACTAATTTTGCACTCAAGTATCTTTGATTTAAAAAAATCTGATTAGAGCTTAACCCTCTTCCAGCTCATGTGCAAGGTTAGCTTAGAGCAGTTTGCTTTATGTAGGAAGTGGTAACAAAAAAAAAGTTATTTAGCATTTTGTGTTTGCGGGTTCGTAAGGGAGGCTTAAAACTTTCATTCAGCTTCTCTACTTGTTTTTTTTTCTTCTTCTTTATTTTACTCTTGTTTAAAGAATATGTTTGCACATTTTCTGCAAAACAGGTATGTCTTTAACACCAGAGCTAAGCGATGCTGGCAGCATTCGCGAAGATGTGATCGTTAGAAGAATGGTGGCCTTATTCGACTACGATCCGTGGGAAAACTCCCCCAACATGGACAGTGAAGTGAGCGCTTCAAATGTGAAACTAACCACAGATTTCTGCATATTACTTATCAATAGGGGGGTCTTCAACCCTAAAATAAATTTCCTTGGGTTTCAGGCCGAACTGGGCTTTCGATCTGGAGACATCATCTACGTGTTGGGTGACATGGATCAAGACGGTTTTTACTTTGTGAGCACAAACTTTGCTGTGACTCTATGATTTCTAACTTAACATTTGCACAGAAGTTAATTTTTCTTTCTTTCTTTCTTTTTTTAAAGGGAGATCTTCACGGAAGACGAGGTTTAGTTCCCTCAAACTTCCTGCAGCCCCTACCCTGGAATTAGACGCTGTGCTAACACCTCTGCTACTAATGCCAACTCACATACACAATCAAATCAGCAGCTTTCACTGAGAAAATGTAAATATGTGTATATATTTTTATTTTTTATGGTAGCGTTGCATTATGTTTTCTGTAGAAGGCCTTCAAAGTATGACACGTAGCTCACCACAACAATCAGGATGATGAACAATGAAGAGAAACAGGTTATAGGATAAGATTTTTTTATTGATCATTTTAAAGAAAAACTCCAACTCACCTTATAGGGAGAAAAAAAGACAACTTTTAAAACCAAGTTTTATTTAATCAAGAATATATTTTTTTGTAATCCAGCAAAGTCACTTGACGGATGTCCGGTGACTTCTAGCCTTAAAAGTATACACTTTTAGTCACAGCATTGTGCAGACCAGAGTGTATGAATCTAGTTTGCCTTATATTGTGTTCATCTGCTTTCTGTAACATGTTTAATCTCTGAGGCAAGAGGCAATAAATAACATTTTAAATCATTCATATAAAAGACAAAAAAGCTCAGAAAATTGAGTTAAAGCAACAACCGCAAGATCATGCTTCCATCTAAAGATCAGAGTTAATCATCTTCTCAATAAACATTATCAATATTAACATCAATCTGTTCGTTAATAGAACATTGTACAAAGTGTAAACAGGTTCAAATCAAGCGCATGAACTTCGACATCATCCGACTTGGTTCTTCTTTCACTCTCCTCTGCAGCTAACAGTATACTCATCCATAAAGTAGGAAACACTACACTATGTAGTGAAGTTTAGTAGTGCTTTCTACTTTATGGGTGACAACACTGTATTTCAGTAGCTTCTGGGCGCTCCCGCTCAAACTCTGAAGAACGACGGCGATGGTGAAGGTGAAGGTTGTTTTCCACAAATTTCCAATTCAATATCATTCAACAACAAAACAAAACTACCGAAGCTTAGTGTAAAATCTTATTGATAATGAAGCATTTTAATGTAAAACGAGACAAAACGGTAAAAAAAAACACCAAGTTTCTCGATGCTTAGATAAACCTACTTGTCAAGATCTTACCAGCGTTTCGACTTCTGAAGAAGAGAGGAAACCCAGAAGTGAGCGCGATCTTTTTATTAACCCTGTATGAGCCACGTGGTCAACACAGGAAAAGCTCACACACGCACCCGCACATGCGCGCGCACACACCCACACTTGTGGTTAGCATGCTGAACTGTCTGAACACATCCTTAAAGCTTAAATAAAAGTTAATTGCCATAAAATCGAATGTTTTCCATCTTTCTTGATGTTTTTGTTTTCATTATTTGGTTTGTGAACTTGTAGTCGATATGACTCAAATTACTCATCCATTTTGTTTTGTAACTTTTGATATTTCATCATAAATAACAAATAGTTCAATTGGATATTCTTTGATGTTGCAGAAGTGTCTCTGAATTTCTGCATTTTCAATGATCGTTCTTTTGTCAGTTTGAATGTAGAGTTAGAAGACACAGTCATGGAAAGACGAGGATGCAAATTCAAACTCAGAACTCATGAATGCATCGCTGCTGCTGCCGCATCCCTTTTAAGGAAATAACTCTGAGATGAAGCCTTGCATTGGCGGTAAATTTGGACCCTATTGATCCCAGACATCAATAATAACTTCCATGAAAAAATGATCTAGAAAGCTTAAATTTCAGAACTTGAGGCTTAAAAAAAAGGATGGAAACCATGCAGGTGTAGTATTCTGCATTTCAGATTACAGGAAGGTCTTTTTATGTTCACCTTGTTTCTGAGAACTTCTTCAGGTCTTCCTCTGTGTGTGATAAAGTGTGTGTGTGTGTGTGTGTGTGTGTGTGTGTGTGTGTGTGTGGCAGGGGGTGGGGGGTGTTGCAGAGGCTTCCCCATCCCCAAGCGAGGCGGTGTGCACTCTGCTCTGCAATGTGCATGCAGCAACAGAAACTTTGCAAACGGAGCAGAGACAGCACCAAACCTCAGAGTCACACCAAGAGAAATAAGAGGAAGTTGGGGGAGGGAGCAGGATGGGCGATGATCAAACAAAGAAAAGATGGCCCTGTTAGAAAAGAACAAAAGAGAGAAGCAGTGGTGCTAAAAATATTAAAAGTGCATGAACCAACAGTAAATTTAACTTGACTCAAAGCTAAGAAAGCAAATACAAATGCAGCAAAAAAAATTTTAAAAAGCGTGCTCATGTTTGTCAGAATGCGTGTGTGTGTGTGTGTGGGTTTGTGCGTGCTTGGGTGTGTGGTGTGTAGGGGAGCATGACTATGCAAGCTGCAGATTATGTCAGCACTGTTGCACCCAGAACTCTGCTTGCATCACACGTCTATTCCTGTGCAATGTGGGACTACATCCAGAATAATCAGCGCACTGAGCTGACGGAGATAGATGGCATCAGGGAGCCAGGAGCCCAAAACGTCCAAGAACAGACATCACTAAGCACTGGATAATGTCTTATTTTTAATATTTCAATGTTTTATTGGGATTTCACACTAGAAACAAAAGCATAATTGTAAAATAGAAAGGCATAATGTCATTTTTATATATATATCTTTGTATCTTCATTGCCTTTAAAAGGCAATTTGCAGACAACAGACTATGGATCAAAACCCAAAGGTGTTTGGGTTCAGTAAACACACATCTAAATGAACAGCATGCCTGTAGAGTCAGTGTGCAAACCAAGTCCTAGTAAAAATAAATAAGGACAGCTGTGACAATTTTTGTTAAAAAAAAAGAAAGAAAATACAAATGAAATAACTACAATTTTCACTTATAGTTACTCATTCTGATTATTGTTTTTTTCTTTTTTCTTTTTTTTATTTAATGAAGAACATTGTGCATTTATATTCAACTGGACTGCAAACTGGATAACACCAATTGAATTCAGGTCTGGGGCTTTGACTGGACAGATATCTAACATGATTTAAACATACAAGTGCAACTTTATCTGGATGTGCTGATTCCTACCATCAAACGGACCCTGTTTTGTTTTTATTGAAGAAAAGCATGTTGCTGCCTTCTTAAAATGTGACTTTTTTCCACATTAAAGATTTTGAAAACCATTCCTTGTTTTGTCTCCACGTTACAACAATATGCTACTTTGTCTAGCAGCACATTGAAACCGATCATCTAAAACTGATGTAACAAAATGTGAAAAAGTACATAAGTAAATAGCATAAGTAGGTAGAAATGTGAATGCTTCTGGTACAGGATGTACATCTGATCCCCAAAAGCTACTTAACACTAATTTCCTTCCCACTTTCTTATCAAAAGAGTAGCTTATTATTAGGTCAAAAACATGGTAGATTAATATTTGCTGTTCTCCAAAACATACATACGAGAACCATATTTTTCCTGGTTCATTTTAGCTCAGTTGCACAGATCGAGGGCCGTCACCAACCAATCTGCACGAACATGCTTGTAAAGTGCTGCCACCTAGTGGCTGCAGAGGCTGTATGTGGAAAGAAATGTATGTGGAGAAATTATTAAAATTGTATAAATTAATTCTCAAGGGGAAAACATAGACTTGGTTTAGACAAGAAAAGTAATAAAGAAGGTAAAGCATAATTGTGGAAGCAAAATAAAAAAAACACTTTTGGTTCATTCTATTTCTTTTATATATTTTTTTATGTATTCATATTAAATGAACACTTCTTGTCTCTAAGAGTTGTATTTCTCCTACAAGAAAATTTCAGTCCGATTTGACAGAAAATGTCTGTGAAGCAAAAAAAAGGGTTGCCAAATGAATTCAGGTCTGCACTCTGACCGGGTCAGTCTACGACATGACCGTGATTTGATCAAAACCCTTCCATGGCTTCAGCTGCGCTTTGGATTGTTGTCCTGCTGAAAGGCGCCTCTCTGCCCCCTGCAGGTCTTTTACAGGCTCTATCTGTCAAAGAAGCAAAATGGTCGAGACAGGTCCAAGGTGCTCAAACGAGGCATGTTCAGAAGATTTAGTGATGAAGAAGAAAACCTTAAAGGTCTCCAATGGACAAAATAACAATATGGAGAATGGAAGAAGGAGCATGGAAACGAATAAACAGGCGTGGGAACGAAATAACACAGCAGGGGACGGTAAAAACTGAGAGGCTTTTAGGCCCAAATGAGAAACACAGACGGACTGACGGAAGGAGACTGAAGGAACCAGAAACAGCCTGACTGTTGTCTAAGAAAAAGAAACACAAATATACAAGAGACGGAGCACGAGAATAAACCATGAAACTAAACAGAGAAGAATGAGCTAATATGGCAACACCTTAACAACAATAATAAACACAGAGAAGAGTGAATATGGCAAGATTTGTAGAACATAAATCATGATAAACAGATCCAACATAAACTAAAAACACCCAGTAGATTGTGACGCTAACAAGATTTCCTTCCATCCATCCTCTCTTAACTCCTACTTTATTGTGCAGAAGAAGAGAGTCACCACAGCATGATGGTGCCACCACTTACTGGTTTTCTATCAGCCAAAAGACCAAACAAATGCATTCATGTGTATTGTTGTTCTGTGACAGACTGTGATTAAGTTTAAGGAAGATTAATTGTTTTCTGCAAACTGGACAGACATTCAATCCCTAACGCAGCTCCTTCTTGTGCTCCTTAAACTGTGTCATCATGCAACGGCTGTGGGTGTTATGGGTACAAAAGTAAAACATTAAACCTTCACTGTTTCTGAATATATTTAAAGAGCGATAATTTGTATGGTGCTTCCACCTGGTGGATGTTAAAGGAATTAAAAGCAAAATCTGTTGTGAGAAAGGAAGAGTGTATTATCAAATGCCATGAATATCAATGGGGCTGTATTATGGATTTTGTCTTATACTCAAGTTATTATGTTACTTTCAGTTGTTATAAAAATGCTGTTTCAACTATAGCTAAAGAAATATGACTTTATGTGAAATCTTAAAATTGGGCCGCTGTCTCTTTAAGAAACTCCTGCTCTTTCTGAAACGCTGCCTTCAGGAAGTCGTCGCAACATGGCTCCTCTGGTAACTCTTTAACAATGTTTTTACCAGTGTTGCACTGAGAGGTAGCTCATTTAATGAGCTCAGCTGATGCGTAGTTCAGCCAGATGTTTGCTAATCACTGCTGGCTAGTCTGAAGGAGCTGAGTGTTGAAGCCACAGTCACACGTTAAGTTTTTCACCTGTCATCAGTAGAACAAATGACTATTTCATGTCATTTACGCTCCAGTCGTGGACTTCTTCTTGTGTTGTTTCTTCACATAGATTTATATTTTCATCATTTTTTCCCCAAGCCTAGTTTGTGCTTTCAGTTTCTTTTTTACTGTTTTTGATTTGTTTTCCACTTTGAATCATGTTCTTGTTGTAGTTTACTCCTTCTGTTAGTTTAGTTTCTCTTTTTAGGTATATCTTGTAAGATATATTAATTATTTTTGTCATTGTTTAGCTTCCTCTGTTTCTGCCTGAGTCTCTTTGCATTTTCGTTCCCTTCCCCAGCTGTTAGATACTTACCTCATCCAGCCTCACTGCTGCAGTCCCAGCTACAGTCAGTTCCTCTAATTAGATCATTTGTCATCTCTGTCCCCTCCTTTGTATATCTACCTTTCAGAGTCATTATTACTTCCTTCTGTTTGCTCTGATGCTACATGTCACGGTTGCTCCTAGTCTGGTGTTCTGGTTTCCGCTTGTTGTGATTGTTTGGACTTCAGTCATTGACTCATGTCTCATCTGATCGTCCCGTTCTCCTGTCTGAACTTTGATATTTTATGTCGGAGTTCCACAAAGCTTTGACCTAAGAAACTATTTTTTTTCCTGATATCCAACAGCAATTTCTGCTCTTAATTTCTTATACAAACTCTCTTTATTTTTGGTTACATTTTGACATGAATAGTTACAAATTCAAAATAACTCGAGCTCGACAGACAAAATATTTGCTTAGAGGCACACAAAAAAAAATCAGATACTTTTGAAATAAATTACCGTAATCTTTGAAACTTAAATAATGATGTAACTTTACAACCACAATCTGATTTCTGATAATGTCAGTAAATATTTAAACAAAATAAACGACGAGAAGCATGAGGCAAGAAGCTTTTAGCCTTAACATATAATCTGTTCAGTTTCTCTAAATAATTTTGACAGTCAAACATTCACCACATTTCCCAACAGAGTCTGCGTCAAACAAAGCTTTTGTTGGTCAGAGTGTGGAAAGCAGCACCGACATGAGCAGCAGCGCCCAGCTGACCAGGGAAGCGTTTCCTGTAGAGTAGAACACAGACCTGTCGTTCAAAGGCTGCGCTGGCCGGTAGGTCTGAATCATTTCTGTCCCTTCGGGAAACTGAAGCTGCCAGAATGCAGAGAGCTGCAGTGAAGACAAAATCACAACAAGAGGTTAAATATCAGTGCTGCGCAACAAAACAATAACGTGAATATAAGAAATGAGATGAGTGGTCAAAAAAGCAGGTGGTGATGAATATCATTTAATGAACTGTTGGTATTATGTATTTTATAGGCCCATAGTTCCGTTTTATACCACAGTCAAGTACCTGTGTTACATTCAGTTGTTATAAAAATATGACAAATATGACTTTAAAAATGTTCACTTTGCAATTTGACACTTTGAAATCAGGCCCTGTCCCTTTAAGAAACTCGTACTCTTTCCGCCACTCTGCCTTCAGCACATCATCACAAAAACATTTCTCATTGTCTCATTTTAAATCGTTTCCAAGAGTGTTGCACTGAGAAGTAGTTCCTATAATGGGCTCAGCTGATGTGTAGTTCCACCAGGTGCTGGGCTAGTCTGAAGGAGCTGAGTGGATGGAGCTGCAGGGGGAGAGGTGCTCTGCAGGGTGGTAGCTAAGAGGGAAACTGCAGTTTTGCCTAATGTGCCCCATTTATATTTTCATTTGTGGTTTTTAGAGCAACAGTGAATCAAGTAAAGCACTGAGTTTGACTTATTGTCACCACTTTTGCATATACTTCCAAACGCTTGTTTGGAACTTCCTTGATGAAAATAGTCACTTTTTCAGAGCGTGATGATCCCTGAAAAAGTCAAATCAAACCTTTAATCTTTAAAAATCTAAGGAAGATTCAGCCAACAGGAGCTGCAAATGTGTGCCAATCTTTGTCTATCTATATTCTGAAAATGTTGGAAAAAAAACCACACAATTTTGTAATTCCTATTTGTCCATTAAATAAGAAATAAAATTAAAATAACATATGAATACGCTTTTTCATGCTTTAGGTCATTAAAAATCATAGCAGCAACAGATATATTCATATTCCAGCCATGACACTAATCAGTCATTGGTGTCCTATTGAGGCGTTTTGGTGACAAGCTGCTTAAACGTGGGAGTGGCTACGTATGTGGGTGATTTTACAGAAGAGCTATGGATTCAACATGTTTGAATGACACACAACTTTTTATAAAGTGTACGATGCTTTGAGAGTTTTGGTTAATCCAGTTTTGCATTGTCAAAAACAGAGAAAAAAGCCCATCGTCATCCTACTACTTCCCGTTGTCTTCTTTGTCGTTTCTGTAAGTAGCAACGTCAAACTGTTGATCACTTGACTCGTGATGTGAAAAAAGTGTCTCCATTGCAGTTTTGCGAAATGCAGCTATCTCGATATGATTGGAAAAACCCACCTCATCCTACTGTGAAAAACTTCATTGAAAAACATGAGGTTTTTTTCCCAAATTGCCATGTCTCCAGTTAGTGCATTTATTTTCAAATTTTCAATTTGTGCAATTCTATTGCTAATTCAAACACAGCTACAATCAATAAAGTGTCACAATGCTGAACAAAATGTTCATATCAACCTGAGTCCTGCTCAGAGGAACGGTGCTTTCAAACAGCGTCCAGACGACGGCTTCAGCGCAGTCGGGTGTTGTGAGGGAGCCGCTGTACCTGAAGTATTTCGTCAAGCTGCTCTGAGGGGGAATAAGCATTTCCAAGGAGACCCCTGACACCGATGCGTTACTGGCTTCAAAACAGATAAGGAACAATAGGTTCAATCGATTCATTGTGAGGGTTCAGAGAAAAGTTGTTTATGGTGTTTTTGTTCATCTGGAACTGCTGGCCTTTAGCCTAACCACACAAATCAGCGTGCAGGTAAAGGGGTTTGATTATGTTCTTATTCCATGAAATCTGCAATAACTTACAGGGTTTAATGATCTGCTTCAGAGCATCAACTAGGGGAGTGTACTTCTTATTCTCTGACAGAGACTCCTGGAATGAAGAAAGAAAGTGTCTGGAAATAAAATCAGGAATATATAAAGACTGGGGATGCACACAGCAGATGATCTGTGCTAAACAGGTGATGAAGATAAAAAAGAAGATATATGATCAGTCATCTGATGCAACTGAGGAAGCTGAAAATGTGAGAAAATTCAGGATAATGATGATGAATTGCTCACACTGAAATGACACTCATTGCTCTTTGACGAGTCTTTAAACAATATTTAAGGACAGATTTATGTCACCACTTTATATCTGCCACTGACTGAAGCATTACTGAGCACAATATAGGCCTGTTTTTATGTCGTAAATGCCTCAAAGTTTAATTACATGTTACTGTTATAACTCAGCCCATTTTTAAGACTGTGTTTCGCCTGGAAAAAATATGTTTCCCAAAAGCAATAGCGGTAACACCTCACCTTTAACTACCTTACAGTTACCTATTAACTTTAAGGTAACAAATACCTTAAAGTTGGTAGGTATAATGCATGCTACATTATAATGGTTGTACCATGCAACAATGAAAAGTTTCCCTCATTGCTTTTCACATGTTGGTGCCTGCTGTCAGATTGACCATTGATTCAGATTGTTGATGAAATAAGAAGAAGTAAAGTTACCTGAAAGAAAAATCCAAGAACTGCAATTCCAGTGGGGTCCTTCACAGCCTGGGACAAAGAGTTGTAATCTTCTTTGATGTGGACAATGTGCATCTGCAGGTTAAATGAAAGATATACTTGTATTTTTATTGTTTTGTTCTTTTTTTTTCTTGAGGTAAGGTTTATTGTATTTGACATACAATAAACAAAGGTCATAAAAAAGTTAAATATGCTCCTGTTGCATGCATTACCTCCATGGGAAACTGCTCTCCATCAATCGTGTGTTCGGATCCAGCTGAGCCGTTCTTGCCCCAGTGCAGATGGAGCTGAATGGCTTTGTAATTTGCATCCAAGTGTCCTCCACTGACCCCAACACCAGGGGGTAAGTCCAGCTGAACTAAAAAACAAAATATATATTTAGAAGCATATAATATTGAAAAATAATAATAATAAAACATAAGCAATATATATATATATATATATTTTTTTTTTTTTGCACACATTTTTTTAAATAAAATTTTTTAAAAGCAGTATTCTTTTTTAAATGTTGACATGTTATATCACTCAAAATTTACAAAGAACTTGAAAACAATGACAATAACAACAATGTCACCAGCAAGAAGGAAGGAACCTAAGAACCATCGGACCAACAAACCAACCAACCGACTGACAAACCAAGAAACAAGATTTTATGTCAGTCAAAGTTTGCGAAAGAACATAAAATTCTTGATCTATTTGTCATATCTCCAAGAATTAGAGATATAGAGATATTGCCTTTCTTCTGTCATTGGCAATAAGGAACAAAGGAACCAACAAACTAACCAACTAAGCAAGAAACAAGACGTTCAATATTAAACTCTTGGCGTCAACAGTATTGATCTTATCTTGGCCTTCAACTGGATGATATACAATAATAAATGTAAAAAACAAAATAATAATAATAATTCAAGAATAAAAATAAATATGTAAAAGGGAATTTGTCATGAAACAAGTTGAGAAATCAGAAACACTTAACACTCCCCTCTTCAAAAAAAAAATTAAAATTCCTATTGTTCACCAATCTACTCTCAGCTCTGCTAGTTTTTCATCCTTATCTTTATAGTTTACAGCCAGACATTACGTTCTGTGCATTTTTACTCCCACTCCATCTTTGTGACCTACTCGTTATTTACAGTTTTTTTCCAGTGTAAAGGTAATTTGACCGGAGACCTACCAGTGTGACCGTTGTTTCTGAGGTGGAAGTTAAACGCCTCCTGGTAGCCGTCAAACTGAAGCGGGGTAAGGCGCTCGTCTTTGACCGTTTTCCTCGTCACGATGTTCACTGGAGACTGAGATCTGCCACCGCATTGGTGAGAAACTGTCTGCCACGCATCTGGACCTGTGAGGAGAAGATGACAAGAAGGCTAATAAAACAACAACTTCACCTGTTAAAAGCTTTCATGTGACTGGACTGGAGCTGCGTTTACCTGGACAGGACCTGTTGCAGCTAACCTGTGACTGGTAGCACCATTCTGGAAGAAAGACACACTGATGATGGTGTGCAGATCATCAACAGATTTTGCATCAAAAACATTATGTCAATTCTCTTGAGTTAATTTAGTAACTAGTCTTCTGCAGAGTCTTCATGAATCGAAGAAGGCACAATTTCTCAAGATTAAATCTCGTCAACTCCAAAGATTTATGAAGGCGTAACAAATTCATGAACATAAAACATTTCACATAACTCAAAAGGCGCAGTCCGTCTAATTTTAAAGATCTGAACTCATTAACGTGACTCTTTACAGGACATACCCGAAGCTGAGATGGTCTTCACGGACAATGCAAAGCAAATTAAAACCCAGGTGAGCTGCATGGTGGAAACCCACTTTAAGTCTCTCTTTGTTTTCTGACTGCTGTGGAGGGGAAATATTTGACGAGCTGTCCAGCGCTCTATTATAAGTCAGGTAGGCCCACCTATCAAGCCCTCCCACACCAAATGATTTGCTATTTCCGTCTGGATTGGTGATATCGCAGAAGAAATGAAGACAAGAAAATGCAGAATGTCATCAACTAAATGAAAACAGAGATTAAAGAAATGTTAATTCCTTTTCTTTTACCTTGCTTTTCTCCACATGGAATAAAATATAGAACTAAATAAAGAAATAAACATATTGTCTAATGTTTTAACCCCATTGTAATTTAGACTGAGAGCAGATTTGCTTCCAATGCTTAGTTGCAATTATCAACATTGTGCTGATGCTGCCTGATGTTTGAGTGATTCATCTTTGCTTTCAATACTTATAGCCTTATTTGATGGAAGAAGTTTCTACAATAATGCCATATTTGTATTTTTAATACTTTTCCAACTTTATCAAGTATCTTAAGTGTTTTCATGCTCTTTTAAGCTCTTTCGGATCTGCAAGACTTTTTAAAATAAGTGGACAAAGTCCTCTCCATTTTTCACTTTACCTTCACTGACAGAGTTTAGATTCAACAATTCTGTGAAGTTTCATTTGAATGTGTTGACCTTGAATGCCTTTGTTCTTCTCAGTAACTAAATTAATGTCAACAGGAGACGATGGTGATTTCTCACTATTTTATGCCTGCAAGCAGCTTTACAATGTAATGCTTGACTACTTTAATGACACAAACCGTCTGAAGTTCAAACATAGAGTTTATTACTTCAGAGCTCAGTCATGGTGGACTTTGGGTTGATGAAAGTTTTAAATTCACTCAGTCAGTTTTACACATGTTTTTTAGATATTCCATCTTCAAATTACAAACATAACACAACATTAGTCAGTCCCTCCAGGATGTTTTTTTTTTTTTTTGTGATTGCTGCAGCCCAGAATTATTGACATTTTTGCAAAAGTTGAGGTCAAAGTTGCTAATTTTTTATGCTTCATTTTTGCCATAACACGGTTTTGAAGGAAGATTGGAATTGCTGCACATAAACAACCCTAAAAAGATGGGATATTAACATAGTTAATATTTAAAGTGCAAGTAACATTTTCAAGTATCTTCTTGAAATAGAACCTTAATACGAATAAAATTATGCCCTGAAGAGTTATCAAAGTGCAAACGAAGAATTCCATATTGGCCATGAAATGTTTACATTGTGTAAACAAATCCTACAGAGCATCTTAAATGTATTTTAATGGCAAATGCTACTGTTTAGTGTCACACATGCTTTCATTTTGCATGTTCAGCTTTTAAGAGATGTTGTGAAACAGCTAATTACGAAAGAAGCTAAGGGGATTGGTCAAAATTCAGCCAAGTTGCTGTGATTGGTCAGAAAAAAAGGAAATACACAAAAATGTTAAACAGTGGCCAATTCCAGGCCCCAAGGGCCATTCTCCTGCAACTTTTAGATGTCTCTCTACTTCAGCACACCGGAGAATTTGACTGCACTTAGGAAGTGATTCAGCAATTTGATTCAGCTGTGTTGGACCAGGGAGACATCCAAGAGTTACAGGACACCGGCCCTCGAGGACCAGGATTGCTCAAAAACTTTAACATTCCCCCAGTAGCATTCCCAAGTTTGTCTTTGCATAAGAGAAGTACAAGCTGAGGGGTTATAAGACATCGAGAGAGCAGTGTGGTTTTTGTACCGGTCGTGAAATACTGGACGAGCTATTCACCCAAAGCAGGATTCTGGAGGGTGCATGGAAGTTCCCCCAACCAGTTTATCTGTGGTTTGTGGACTTGGAGACAGAATTCGACTGTGTCTCTTGGGGGATAGCCCGGGGGTATGGAGAACCAGATATGGGCTGCTAGGTCCCTGTATGACCGGTGCCAGAGCTCAGTCCACATTGCCGGCAGTAAGTCAGACTTCTTTCCGGTGAGAGTTGGACTCAGTCAAGGTTGCACTTTGTCATAGATTCGGTTCCTTTATGGACAAAATTTCTAGGTGAAGCCAAGTTGTTGAGGGAATCCATTTGGATGTCCATGGGATTGCATCTCTGCTCTTTGCAGATGAATGTGGTCCTGTTGGCTTCTTCTGGTTGTGAAGAAGCCAACACAACCAGAGCGGTTCTCAGCTGAGTGTGAAGCAGAAGGGGTGAGAAACAGTCCCTCCAAATCTGGGGTCATGTTCTTGAGACAGTGTAGAGTGCCTTCTCCAGGTCGAAGAAGAGATTTTGCCCTGAGTGGGGGACTTAAAATTGCTTGAGGTCTTGTTCGCAAATTAAAGAGTATTGGTTATTGATGCAGGAGATCGATGGTTGGATTGGTGCAGCATCTACAGTAAAGCGGTCATTGTACCGGTCTGTCATGGTGAAGAGAGAGCTGAGCCAATAGACAAAGTTCTTGATTTACCAGTTGACCTACATTCCTACCCTCATTTATGATCAGGACCTATGGCTAAATATCAAATGAATGAGGTCACAGATACAACAACCAAATTCAGTTTCCTCCATGGGCTTCCCAGGGTCTCCCTTAGAGATAGACTGAGACACTCGGCCAGTCCACAAGACACTACACCAGTCAAGGTGACTCAGGCATGTGGGTAGGATGCCTCCTTAATGCTTCCATGGGGAGGAGTTCTGGGAACGTCCCACCAAGAGGAGACCCAGAGGAAGACCCAAGATATGCTGAAACACTTTGGGATTTCCCCAGAGGACCTAGCCCAAGAGGCCAGTTTGGGTCTTTCTGCTTAGACTGCTGCCTGGCAACTTGATGACCTGACTCTGCTGATTGATTGATTGATTGATTGATTGGTTGATTGGTTGATTGATTGATTGATTGATTGATTGATTGATTGATTGATTGATTGATTGATTGATTGATTGATTGATTGATTGATTGATTGATTGATTGATTGATGCTGACAATTTACTGGGTTTAGAATTTAGGTTCATACATTTTTGGTTCATTGCCTTGCATTGTTCCTTCTGTTTTCTGACGTCTGACCAATCCCCTTTCCCGTGAAGATGATCATTAGGAGTCTTTCACATCAGATCAGTTAGCTCCACTTGGTCTACTTTAAATGGGCCAGAGGTGTTTTCCTTGGATAGTCCACTTTGTTCTGGCAGGACAAAATGCTCATCCGAACTCTGCTGCAGTTCAAGAACACAAATCTTGGTCCGCCTGAAAATGCGGATCTAAGTTTTCTTATTGTGAGAATATAAATCAAGTGAACCAAAGGAAAGAACGGAAAAGATCAAATTTATGAACACATGCATGCTCTGAAATCCTTGCTAGGAGTCTGTTATAATAAAATCATCTCATAAACCTTTTCACAAAACAAATCAAGCTGAAAGAGAGCGAGTTACTTTGCTGGAACTAGCTTTATAGCCTCCTGTCACGCAACTAGATCTTTAATGATCTAACCCCAGGCTGCAGGAAGGGGAAAAACCAAGTATGACTAAACCAGCGATATTGGAAAGATCTCTCCAAGACGTTTTATCAAGTCCACAACAGAAAACAGGGTGTGGTCCTATTTGGACATGTACTATGTAATTTGAGAGACTACCTTCTCAGCCAATCACGTTGCTCTATTGAACAGTACTGAGGTTGTCCCGAAACTTGAAAAAGAGAAGGCGCCTTCGTCTGAAGGTTGAGCCTCCATGAAGACCTGCACATTTAATAATAATAATACGGATCAGGTTGAACAGGACAGATCAGGTAGAAAGTCTTATGCAATGACCCATTTTTTCTTCGTGCCACTTGTCAAAATCTAGATCTTTTCCTGATTTCCACCGCCATCCCGCAAAAAAAAAAAAAACGAAAAAGAAGAACGATGAAACCCCAGGGAGCGACAAAAGGGGATGTGGGCCATTTGAAAGGAATTTCGCCAGGAGGAAAAGATGAGGCCACACTTTTGACAGCGAGATAAGACAAGAGGCCTGTGAAGCTCGCAAGTATAGAAGTTGAGTCTCCTCACCACAATGTTTAAGGACACTCAGGGCGGCAGTAATCTTCCTTAATGAGGAAAATGTTATATAGAATGGCTTACCCTGCCTCACAGTACCAACATCATCCCAGCACAAGTTTCAACAACTTTCCCAGAGATGTAGAGCTGAATGACAGCCAAAATACTTCAACCCATCTCATTGTTAACATTTATTAGACAGCTGCACTGATTTTTATTTGAACGTTCTGTACAAGCTCACTTTACAGCATGCCTTTGCACATTAATTTGTGTGTGTGTGTGTGTAGGTGTGTGGGTGTGTGTGTGTGTGTGTGTGTTCGTGTGTGTGTGTGTGTGTGTATGTGTGTGTGTGATGTTTTTTAGCTACATACATTTCTGAAAATGATTATGCGTTTTATGAATAAAATATTTTCAATGATCAGCAATTCGTTTCTGTGGCAAATTGAGGACATAGATGACTGAGGTCAAATACAGCAGGCGTACAAGGAAAGGTAGATAAAAAGCCAATTGAACAGACTAACATTTCTCCTAGTTGCACAGACACCTAAAAAAGTCACTTTTGTGCTATTATGTCTACATCATTGTCTTTTAACCAGAGTTTGATGGCAAGATGCTGGGGTGATGCAGTTTCATGGACCAACTACTTCAAATGTAAAACTTTTTATCTACTTTTAGTCTTAACATAAGACTTGTTTTTTCAAGGAAATTGCCTATGTAAAGCAAGAAGATATTAAGGCAAATGTTGGAAAGTTCATGCAAAATTAAGTCATCAATATTTTGACTTTAGGGTCGACGCCGCGGTTGAAACCAGACGTTTTCACACAGTGAGTGAAAAATTGCAAACACTTTTTTTTCTACTGTCTGAACTTTAATCAGACCAAACTTGTTTTGCTTTAGGTCGCATTTACTGAATGTATTTTTATTTGCTTAAGGACATAATTGTTAGAAAAAAGTAAATAAAAAAAATAAAAAAAAGAAAAAGAAAAAAAAAGCAGAAGTTTACATGCAATGAGGGAAAGATAGATGATGATGTCATGGATTTGTAAACTTCTGATAGGTTAACTCACACATTAGAGCTAATTGGAGCCGGAGATTGACTTATTTTTGACTTACGTTATAGAAATGGACCCCGAAAACCCATCTGTGAAGCATGGCGGTGGCAGCATCATGTTGTGGGGCTGTTTTGAGGAACTGGTGCACTTCACAAACTAGACTGCGAGATTAGGAAAAAAACAGTGTGTGGAAATATTGAAGCAACATCTAAATACATCAACTAGTAAGGAAGTGGTTAGTCTTCTTAATGAACAATGACTCTCACCATCCAGCCAAAGTGTTTAGTGTTTTATAAAAGTTTGGTTTGATTTATCTTCAGACAACGAGGGAGAAAATTAGGATTTTTTGTTTCTTTATTCAATGTGCTAATCTTCTGGTTTCATTTGTAGCTGTTTCCTGTGATGCAACACAAGGTTGAGACGTTATTATGATGTGATTTTTATTTTTACTTTTTTTTACCTCTCGTAGGTTGTCTCACACCCAAACAGAACAGAGTCGTATGATATGCAAGATCCATTGTTCATGTTAGCTATGCGCATTCTCGTTGGTCTAAGAAATACCAAAACAACATGAACAGAAGGATTAAAACGCTCTAGAGGTGGTGGATGTACTAATGAATGGAAATTGTGCTCAACTGATACGACTACCTTTGTGTACTTTTCTTAGTAGTCGAGTTTATTAGTTCAGCAACAACGCAGTAAAAAGTGCTTCACATGGTAAACACATCAAGCAACAAGAGACACCATTTTATCAGCTGCAGCCTACATGTCTCCCCGGTCTGCACATAAAACATCTGAAAGCTTGTTAACTTCAGCCGTACCTAATCATTTGTGCCTGCGGTGTTCTGCATGCGCCTCACAGGACTTTTCCCAACTTTTCCCGGAGTGCATCCAGATCTTAGCTAAGGGGATGGCAAACGCCTTTTATTTCTGCTATCATGCAGCTAAAATATAAACTATGACATTCCTTCAAATAACTGATCCAAATCTCTGCATGTAGCACATTTCCAATGGATTTTGAGATGAAAGACTACACTGCATTATGTGTTTTTTTTTTGTGTGTGTGTGTTGTTTTTTTTTGCCCCTGGTTACATAACGAGGGACAGTGTGTAAAAGGGTTTTATTTAATTAGAATGAATAGACTGACGCACCCTGTTTAGCTGCTGCTTAAGCATGACGCAGCTGAAAGTGAGGGCAAATTAATCATTAGTGTGATAAAAGCTTTTCACTCCACAACAATATCTGCCTTTGATAACCAATGTTGGCACTGATTCATCAACTGTGGGACTCCACCTGAACTTTACCAGAGAGAAACTTAATCACTTCAGTTGCAGCTCCTTTCATGGGTTTGCACACACCTTGAACGTTTCAACATTTTCCCGTGTTTCAGCCACACATTTCAGATTCCAAATTGATGTCCAAAAGCAATGGAAAGGAATCAAGGCTTTAATTTTGAAGCAAAAATCTACGAGATGTCACATCCATTTTTGTTCCACTCCTTTCGCGTTGGTTACGTCTGTAGGAGTAAAATTGATTAATGTTTGTGGGTCAACTATGTATAATACAGCAAATCCAGTTGATCTTTGACGGATCTCAGAGGTTTGTCAGACAAACAGCATCATGAAGACCAACAGAGACAGTTGTGAAGACGTTTAAAGCAGGAAGGACAGCATTGACCAGGAAGGCAGCTGTAAGGTTCACCAGCTGTATTTCTGTTGACCTTATAATTGCAGGGTTTGATATTCTGAAAGCAAATTTCCTTAAAGGAATCACACCAATTTCCACAAAACTCTTGCTTTTTTTTTTTTTTTTTTTGTTTTTTTTAAATAGATGCTCAAACCAATGTTTTATGAGACATATTTACAAACAAAACAAAAGAAAAAGCATGAGAGAACATAGAAAAAAATAAAAACTTTCTAAAATTGAGCAACTTCAAACATTGTCATTTAACAAAATGATAAGAAAGCATTATGAAAGATAAGCTTTATAGGAAACATAAGAACACAATGATTAGACAAATACACAAACCCATTGTGTATTTAGTTTAAAATTTTTCAAATGATGAGGTCTGGTGGACAAGTGTTGAATAGAGGTTAGTTACATTTTGTTGAGTAACTTTCAGGAAAAAGAAGTGTACTTTAAAAAGTATGCTTTTACGACGCTATACTTTTTACTGGAGTAATTTTATCATGAAGTAGTCATTCAGGAATGAAGCTGGTTAAAATTCAACATACACTGAAATTTTCTTAATTAGTGATTATGTGATGTGAATTATTTCCATATTGACATTCAAAATACCAAAAATGTCCACATAACTCATGTTTTTGTCTGTCTGATTATATAACTTTTACATGTTAAATGACTGTTTTCTTGAGTTATTCAGTACTTCTTGCCTAAACCCTTTCCTACTGTTATGACTGATGATTTCACACCTGATTGAGCTTGACTGAACTTTGCCAAAGTTCTGCTAAAGTGGGAACTTGCACAATCCTGTTGCTGGATCCAGAAGAGCGTGAGATCCAGGCTGTTCATAGCAAAACATGCTGACACTGAGACGACAATGACCATGTGGTGGGTTACATAATTCTTCCCTTTCAACTCTCACAATCTTTATCAAAAGGCCATCCATCCATCCATCCATCCATCCATCCATCCAGCCATCCATCCATCCATCCATCCATCCATCATCATCCATCCATCCATCCATCATTCATCCATCCATCATCCATTCATCCATCCATCCATCATCCATCCATCCATCCATCCATCCATCCATCCATCCATCCATCCATACATACATACATACATACATACATACATCCATCCATCCATCCATCCATCCATCCATCCATCCATCCATCCATCCATCCATCCATCATTAGTGTGAGGAGTGGCCTTGAACGCACCGCGCAGAATGGGGCGTTTCCGTGCAGCAGAACTCCGGACTATAAAGATCCCGGTGTTCTCCCGGCTCCCTCGTCTCTCTCTCTTGTCCTCCTGACCTGCAGTGAAGACCTGCTGTGAGGCTGTGATGGACCGCTGGAAGGGCAGAGTGGCTCTGGTGACCGGAGCTTCGGTCGGGATTGGAGCGGCCATCGCCAAAGAGCTGGTCCGGTTCGGCATGACGGTGGTGGGCTGCGCGAGAAGCCTGGACAAAATCCAGGTCTGTTACACTTTGATTCAAATAATAATAATGATGATCAAATAAAACGCAATAAAAATTGTGAGCGATTCTTAAAATTATAAAAATTATCAAAGCAAATGAGAATACTTATAAATAATAATAATAATGATAATAATAGCTACTAATCATAATAAAGAATGAATAAATAAAAGTTGTTCTTTTAATACTGTGTCCTGATTGCACAATCTGGAAAACAGAGGGCCGTTTTAAATGTATTATAAACTAACAAAACCCTGTAAATATACAATGGTCCTGTTATGCAATAGAATAAGCAGATCGGTTTACAGTTCAAATCCACCGGGACAGGTTTGCAGAAAACTGGGAGTTCCGCAGAGATTCATGAGTTACACAATAAGTAAATGTCTGCAGCAGGCTGCAGACAGTGTCGTTGAAAAATTGTCAAGTGCTTCAAAAAGACACAAGTTGGAAATGAAATGTGTTCAATGTCTGTGTCAAAAAAGTGCAACATGTGAAGACAAAAGAGAAGAAGTGCGCGTCACCGGGATACAGAAAGTAATTTCCTGCACAGGTTAAAGTCCTGCTGAGATCAAACTGTGTAATAGTTAATTATTCACTCATAAAAACCATAAAGTTGTTCATTCTGGAAGAGTCCATGTCACAGTAAAAAAAATAATAATAATCTGCCGAAATAATAGATAGGCTATCTTTTAATCTTCAAACTAAATAGAATAAAATCATTAAAGTAAGAAATAATTTAAAATGCATTTTTTTCATTTTGTATTCTTTTTTGTAGGTTTCTGTGGAGGTATGGGGGATTTTTTTAAAAATTTTTTCAACACAAATTGATTTTGTTTGCAATTTAAAAAAAAAAAATGGCCCAAAACAAAACATTTAAAATCATCTGCTCAGTTTTGAATTTGTTCTAACATATTGAGTTTGACTATAAGACTTTCTGGTAAAATAGTAAAATGATGCCAGTTCTAAGTCAGCTAAAACTAAGCAGCAGTGCAACGATAATAATCCATCCATATGGATATAAAATAATTTTGTTTTTATTAATTGCATTCAAAGCATAGATGTGTATATATATTTATGTATTTAATAACTGGGCTTATTTTTTTCATCCATGTCTTTAAGTGAAGCTGCTGTAAAAGTTGGAGTTTATTGATCTGTATAATCAGATCCTGTCCATCAAACATTAACTTACACATTTGACTCAACATTAGCAAATTTAAATATTATCTTGATCTTTGAAAAGTTTTGACCACATTGCAAACTAAAGAAGCAGATTTCACATCAGATGTTTGTAGCGTTCTACATCTTTTATCTTGGATTTAAACTTCCATCCTAAAATAAAACAGAAAATAAGATTTTATTTTCAGTACTCTTACTGAAAATAAGACTATAAGATACAGTCAGAAGCTTCAGTCAAATGTTTTCTCTACTGCCACGTTGTTTTAGGCCTTGGCTGCAGAGTGTAAGCGCGCAGGCCACAGTGGCGTCCTGATCCCGATGAAGTGCGACCTGACCAACGTGGAGGACATCCAGTCCATGTTTGCAGCCATCAAAGCGCAGCACAAAGGCGTGGACGTCTGCATCAACAACGCCGGCCTGGCTCACCCCGAGTCTCTGCTGAGCGGCAAAACCAGCGCCTGGAAGAACATGCTGGATGTAAGAACTCACTGTGACTCAGAGAATCTCATGAGACATTGTTTGGAGGCTTTCAGGGACACTTCAAATAGTTTGTCTGAGAATGAGGAGAAAGGAGAAACACTTCATTCAGCCCAGAGCAGAAATCTAGATAAACTCCTGTTAGTTTATCTAGAGAAATTATTCATTCAGCATTTAGTATTAAACTTTTAATAACAAAGACAAACTCCCGTCAGTTCACAAATCTAGAACAAACTTAGAAAATACCATCAAGTTTTATCAGAACAAGAATCCAGAGAAACCCTTGAATTACGAACTACTTATTCTTAAACTTGGGGACTAATTTGCAGTTTCATACTCTTTTTTTTCCTTTTGCTCTTTCCTTTGGTTTGTTGTTTTATTGCATTTCATTCTAATTCATGTAAAGCATTTTGTTGCAGAAATTCTGCTATGTAGATATCATTTCCTCACCTTTCCTTACCTGCTGTGATGCAATAAAACAAAACAGAGATACAAAAACAATAACAGTAATAAATCGTCTGCAGAGCCATTTTCTACACGTTCATTCTCTGCATGTTGTTCGTTGGTTGTTTTGCAGGTGAATATTATGGCTCTCAGCATCTGCACTCGTGAAGCGTACCAGTCGATGAAAGAACGGAACATTGATGACGGGCACATCATCAACTTGAACAGGTTCGCTTTCATTTTACTCGTTTGTTCTCTTAACAGACCGGGTTTGTTGCAGTGGAGAGAAAACTGTTCACGTTGACTTAGCCTCTGGTTCATTAAGTATCACAGAGGTAATAATTTGTAACTGGAACCTCATTGGAATTAATTCAATCTTTTTACATTTCTCCATTTTCTTTCATTTTAAATCTAGTTATTGGCTTCAGCTGCCATGTCAATCACTTTATCCAGGCAAAAACAGCATCAATAAGTACAGAATGAGTGACGTAAGAATACTTTATATGAGAGAGAAAAAGAGTACAGTAATAGTTAAATAACTAATAGTCAATAACAGTATTGAATTAATATTAATTTCAAGGGCAAATAAAATCAAAAGAAATAAATAAAGTTAATAGCAGTGATAACTCTACCAATGCTTTATGTTTAGAAGAGACATGCTTGAACTAACTTAAATGGAAAAAGAAAAAAGTTGGAGACTTTTAAAAGAATCATTTAATCAATTCCACAGCTGGACTATTATTATTATTGCTTAGTGGAATCAGAGATGCAGTGGATGACTTCTGATGCATGCTGGTGAGATTATGGTGCTCAGATTGGTATTGCTTTTGATATTTCAGTTTTTATAATAAATGTACTGTAGATCTCATTCAGGGCTTGGCAGTGGATGTTTTTGTTTGTGTCACACTGAAGTGTTTAAAAATGTAGGTTCATTAAAACAAAAAATTGATTTTAAAATTTTGGACAAAAAACCCCTGAAAAGTCAGGTGCACATTTTATAGAAAAGACAAACAAATAGTCCGTGCGAAGTTAATGGCATCGTTTGTTCTGCCACAAGGACAACGGCGCTAAACCCAAAACCACGGATGAAGACGACTTTCTGAAACCATAACCGGCTGCCAAGAGTTAATGGCAGCAACAGAAAAAAAATTTGATGAACAAGCAGAGTAAACAAATTCCAAGAGTCTGGTTGCTTATGAAAACATTGCTGAGTCAAATGAGAGTCTTCTGGCACAGAATGTCTGATCCTGTTCAGTCTTTTTATTAGACTGTTTTTGTTACTTTTGTGCGGGGATATATCAGTAGTTCTTTGTATGTGTTTGACTCGCATAACCCTCAAATATCTCCCCTCCCTTCTGTTCCAGCATCTGTGGACACATTGTGATTAATGGCGGCGAGATCCATTTCTACACGGCCACCAAGTACGCCGTGTCGGCCCTGACCGAAGGCCTGAGGCAGGAGCTCAGAGAGGCCAAGACTCACATCAGAGCCACGGTGAGGTTTCAGTGCCGTCCATTTATAAACTGGGGCTGGGACCTTCACGCTTTAACTTCCATTAATGGATTTCGTCGATTGTAACGCACTGAAAGTTATACCGTGATTAGCTTAGCATACAAAGGTTCCGGTTGGAACCTTTTGTAATTGTGTGTTTCTGGTACGCTCGTAAATCTGACGCACAAGCGACATCCACAAACAACAAAGCTGCTTCTCTTAACCAACTCAAGGTTAATTTCTCCGTAAAAAAAAAAACAATAAACGATATGATGGAACATAGAAAAGTCTATTGTGTTCAAGTTGGGCTAAAAGGAGTTAACCAATCAACAAAGCTGTTTCATTCTAACATAGCAGCTGAAAGCTAATCATGTAGCGACAGCGCAGATGACCCCACAGTCTGCATTACCTGCATGATCAGAGGTACTTAAAAGACTGAATTTGTATAACAGCAATTTGTACCAATTTGATGGATGAATAAATTGAATTACACATTATATATAACAAATATCTTGATTTTTTTTAGCTCAAAAGTATTTTAAATTGCAAATTTAGCATATTTTGTCTCAATATGGTTTTGATTAAAGTGTATTTAACTCGATAAAAAATCTGAATTGTGTCCCATTCGGTGTGTTGAAAACGCACGTTATTACACAGGTGGCCTCCAATGAGTCAGATTAATCTCTGCCGATGTTGATAGATCCACCACGCCCATTAACGAACTCTCTGAGAACCTTGTAACGGTGACCAGCTTTCAAGCCGAGGTGATCCCTCATCTTTTCATTCCTATTTATGTGGCGCGGCTCTGAGAAGGTGTGTTTGTTGGTTCATGAATCTCTGACAGATCTGTTGGCGCTTGCTTGAAATGCATGACTTGCTGCTGAATTCGACTTATTATTCTTTCAGTTCATGCAGTAGTTTTTGGAATTGATCCTCAAAGATTCAGGTCCAACCGGTTCTGCAGTCTCTGATAGGACAGACGTCGTCTTACGTCCTGACGTTAACTGACTGTCCTCTTGTCTCTTCAGTCCATTTCTCCTGGCATAGTAGAGACTGAATTTGCTCATCGTTTCTACAGCGAAACCCCTGAAAAAGCCACTGCAACATATACTCACATTAAGGTAAGCATATTTAAACAAGCGCATATTAATACGCTCAATACCTATTTTAGAGGAAAGCAGTAAAGCCTTTATATTTTTTTACAGCCATTGGAAGCGATAGACGTTGC